GAAATTAAGAATGCAAATGCTTCTGGATTGCAGCCTGTCTGAATCCAGCGCTTAAGTAAGCTTTCACTTTGAAAGATGTTTCTTTCCTTCTCTTTCTATTTTATTTTGTTTATCTAAAGGACTCGGAGAGCATCGGTCTGACATGGGATGCATTTATTATTTTCGTACTGTCAGGACTACACATTGAGGATCATCTGGAGTATATCCAGAGGAAGATGGGAGAATTGTATAGCAAAGGGAAAACATATGTTAATACCAGTATATAGTTAGGTTTTTGGTCTTATTTTTTCCTCCACGTTGCTGTTTCCCCTACTTTATTTTTTTCTTCATTTTTACCTTTACTTTCTTATTATTGCCTGTATTTTTTTCTCTTAGTCATCTGAAAGGAATGTATAATCTCAAAAATTGGCTAATTGAAACTATTTTGCACAGCCTATTTAAAAAGGTCATTCAATGTACAAGTCTGGTTGCAGTTGAATTTCTGTTTCAGCATTGGAGGTTATCTTTCATAAAGTGTGACTTAAAATCCAACACATTTAGAGGAAACGTCACCTTCTACCTGTGCTGAAGGTGGACAAAGTGAAATTACAGCAAATTAAGAGCAAGTTGTCATGAGTTGGGATTCAGACATAGGATTTGATTTTGTGAATATTGTATACACATTAGGTATTTGCAGTTTGTAGCTAATGAAAAAATAGTTCCACAGTGTTTGTAGAAAGTGAGTGTCTAAGTAAAATGAAGTTGCCATTAAAGTTATTTTGCATTTTTCAGAATAAGCTATAGTAAAAAGGTACTAATGAAATAATCTATGCAGAGGATGAAGCATAGAGATAATCTAGTACCTACACAACAGAATCTTCTGAAAACACAAACTTCATAAGAAACAGTAATTCTCATGCCACATTTTAAAATGGAAGAGTATAAAAGAATCTCATATACTAGTGTGTAACCGCCTGAAGAGAAAAATAAAATTAGTTTATTTTGTCAGTCTCACAAATGCAGAATTATCACCAAAATCTTTAGGTGTTGTCAGCACCAGTCGTCTTGTGGTTTGGCTTTGCAGGAAGTAGGTGTTCAGATTGACTGTGTAAGATTTTATTTCAGTGACGTATATTTATAAGTGCGTAATGCATGATGGGTCTCAGAGAGACTACTCCAAATTACCATCAGCAAGGAGTACGGGTTCTCATAAAAAAGGCTAGGAGCAGGAAAATGTCTTAAGCCAAACAATTGTTTAAGAAAAATCAGCTTTTGACTGCTTCAACCAAAAAGTTTTTGCTGAAAGAATTGACTGTTGTACATCTCTCTTCATCCTTATGCCTTATTTCTTCTCTGTGATTACTGCAGAATAATTGCACTTTATTTTATTGCAGTGCAGTTGAAAAATTGATTATATAGTGACTTGAATGCATATTTCTGTTGGTATGTAATGTCATGCAATGGTAACCATTGTACTGTTTGATCAGTATGTTAACTGATGAAAAGGTTTCTATCTGATTGTGTAAAGCCACATCAAATTCTTGAACTGCACGCCTCAAGAAATTTTACACAGAAATGTAAGTAGGTCACATTAGTGATCCTGACTGTACACACAAAGGATCTTTATTTTTGTGCTTATTATGGATCACTGGGTTCTCTGCTTTGCTGACTCATATCTCATCCAACAATTAGCAGTAAATTGTAGTACTGTGTAGTAATTACAACCTGGGATCTCACTGTTGAAATCTCATCTAGATGGCTTTTGTTCCTTCCCAGTGAGAGGAAGGATCATCAGCATTCTCAGCTTTTTCTGCTTACAAGGTAATTTTTAGAGAGGATTTTACTTTAGAGAAATTTTATATTATAGAAGTATACTTTGGCTTCCAGGAGGAATACACAAAAGAAAATGTCAGTGTAGAATGAAAGCAAGATTTTTGTTTTTGAAAGCTGTGAACAGGACTGTAGCATTAAGGATTTAGGGAAAATAAAAAGATAAATTTTTAAAATAAAGCAGATTACTGTAAGGATATTAATTTCTTTGTGTTTTTAAGTTTGACAGTCCAAGCTCAGTGTCCAGTTTCTGCCATAGAGACGTTATTTATAAAAACTCAAAGGATATGGCAATAATCTGTAAAACAGTGTAGAAGCTCTGAGGAAAAAGAACTCAAACCCATGGAGTCCATAACAGACTACAATGGTAGTGCTATAATTAATGATCTTAGTTTTTCTAATCAGCTTTGTACAACATCTCTTTAATTTCTAGCAATTGGTAGGATAGGATGACTAGACTTCCAAAAGGAAATCTCTTGCTTAGCAGATTACTATCTAGGCATTGGAAGCCAAAATCTATTGCAGTTAGTTGGAGGAGCTGTTTTGTCTGAGATGTTATAGGAGTGTAAACAATGGAAAAATGTGAAAAATAATGATGTGTTGCTAGTTAATTATCTATTTCACTTATTTTATAGAAACTTTAATGAAAGACCTTGATGTAATAACAATTCCTAGTAAAGACGTTGTGATGGTACATGAACCAAAACAAAAGGTGGATTTAACAAGGTACCTAGAAAACCAAACTTTTCGTTTTGATTATGCCTTTGATGACACGGCTCCTAATGAAATGGTTTACAGGTATGTGTATATGCTTTCTTTCTTGTGAATCTTTTTTCTCGTGTATCTATCTCCCGTGTCAATAACTGTGGGATTACCTTGGTCATGGACTTCAATCCTGTTCTCTGTGTTACCAGACATGCTACCTCCATTCTTTTGCCTGTTTACTTTTGTTTCAAATCTTTATCCTGAATTCTTCACCTGAAATGTCATCTCCACCTCCATTGACCTCAGTCCTTGTCCAAGCCCTGCTGGTTTCCAGGCTGAAGCGTGTGTTGCCTGCCTCCTCAGCTACTGCATATTTGCACAACTTCGTGAGGTCACCATTTGCCTCAGGGTTATCGTCTTACTAATTAGTGTGTGTGCAGCACCTGAGGAACCTAAGTCATGGCTTTTGGTCTTCAGGAAACTCGGAAGAAAAGGACAGCCCCAGCCCCGAAGAGCTTGCAGTTTCAATATAAGATAATTAAGAGATGGAAACAAATCAGGAGAGGGTGGGGAAAGAAAAGCAAAAGAGGTTATATTGCTGTATTGCTGAGAAGCCTGGGTGAGCTTGGCTGCGGGAAGCGGTCTGGTTCATGTAACGCGGAGGTGCGTGGAGCTAAATTATCTTGCTGAATCTTTCTGATTTAAAAACCAACACAACAGCAACAGAGACACATCCACTTTCATCCCCAAGGTATTTGGATATCCCATTTTCTCCTTTACTCTTCTGTTTCACTTCCTCAGCTGGCACAGAATAATGCACACTGCGTTTTTAAAAATGTGTTTAGAGGTAGCCATTTACCTTGTACAAGTCACTAAATGAAAGAGATACAGTAGTAGGCAAGGTTCGACACCATGACAGGTCATATAATCATGGTATGCAGCCTAATACTTAGAAGCTTTTTGCAGGTAGTATTGATATTTGAAAGGAATTTGATCAAGATAATTTTCCTCATGCTTGGAAAATGATTCCCATAGCCTTAAGGAGTAGTGGAAGAGAAATATCTTAATTCTTGTTTTTTAATGCAACAACTAGGAAGTGACAGCATTGTATCCTGATTGATGTTGGACACTAACATCCTGTTGGTGGATAACAGAAAATTCACCGTAAAAAAAATTATTAAAAGGCCTTGAAAATGAAAAATCCTGGTTTATGCTGGATTTAACTAGGAAGAGAAGGGTGACGAAAGGAAAATCCACATAGTCTGTTAGTTTACGCTAACAAAGGACTTCTAAACGGCAAAGCTGTGCCCCTGGAGATCTATGTGTCTAATGGTTGTCTACTGGTAGCATCTTCCCTTTCTTGGTACTGAAGAGCTGTGGGAGAGCGATCCACCTGGTCATGTATGCCTCTTGCCATAGTTCCCCTCCTGCTTAACAATCAGTTCCTCTGCTCTCCCTCTTTCCTGTTATTTATCTTTGGGAGCATAGTGTTTAAATGTGAGGGGTGTTTCTTGGCATACAGTGTTGTTGTACAACAGTTTTCTCCAGACAATTTTTGTTAGTTACATAATACATTAATGGCAATATGGGAAAATATTGAAAGATCATTGTATTCTTACTGAAACGGTAAATCTGTAGCCTCTGTAGCAGTATGGGCTTTTTCCTTCTCCATTATATGGCACAATAATGATATTATTTGAAGGACAATCTGCATCAAGGCCTCCTGTAATAACAGAAATAAGAGCAAGATCGGTATCATCATCTGCTCTTACCAGAACTTCGGGGTCCAGTGGGGAAAAAAATTAGTGTGGCAAGTTACTCCAGTTTTCTCCAGTATGCTAAAATTACTCACTGTATTTCTATATTGAAAAACGTTCTTCAGTTTGAGGGAGAAAAGTACTGCTCTTTTATTATTATTATTATTATTATTATTATTATTATTATTATTATTATTATTATTATTTTGCTTAAGCTGTATTTTAAATATTTTTGAATCCATGAGCAGCAACACTGAGTTGCAAGTTTTCATTAATATTAAAAAACACGTGCTAGTTTGAATGGGTATGCCTTTTGAGTTTTAAAGGAGAACCAGAGTTCACATTTCTGAAAGATCAAGATTACAGATAAAGGTTCTAGTAAAAGTAAAGTTGGAATGTTTTGACATGGTACCATTTGGAGTTGTATAATGCTTTATGAAAACTTGGCTAGATACGTTTGTATTTTGCCTTACTTTAAAATAGATATAATTAAGTCCCTTTTCCATAAATTAACAAAATGAATCATTTGGAACTCAATTAAACAGAGATAATGGACTGTGCTTCTTAAGTGGATAGGCTTTGTGAAATTTTGTATTTCATATACAAAAAGAACAAACATCAAAATCTGGGAATACCCTCTTGAGGACGAAGGGAGTATATGTTTAGAAGAAGTAAAAAGGAAAGACTAAAGCTGATCAACAGTCATCTGGTACATTTTTGATGAAAATTCAGGATTCAGTTAAACTTAGATTTTTGGATTCATTTTTGGTGAATGGCTTGATCTTGCCCATATTATTTTTCTGAGTGATGTGTGTTTGTTCCAAAGTGGAATGAAAGAAGATTGTACGCCTCTGTGTTTCTGTAAACAATTGTTCCTGTTTCTGTCACTTAGTGGTACTTTATGTCTAAATACCTGGAAAAAGTTTAGAAAACGAGACTTTTGCAGAGAGACTCTTACCTCCTTTGGTAACCATCCATTAGTTTACCATTTGCTTTTGGAGTTTTTTAGGTAATAATGGTGATAAGCAGCTGAAGTAGGAACAATAACTATGTTTTTTAAAAGTAAAAATTCTCTAACATAGGAAAATGATACTTTGAATAATATTTTTTGACACATCAAATAATACTTCAGGGATAACTAGAGTTTTTCATTCTGAAGAGCTTGGGTATCCATTTTCTTGAGCCTTTTCTCAGTGTATGTATGTTCTCAAAATACTAAGATGTGCAGTGTTGTTTTGGCCACTTGTCTTCGAAATTTAATCTTGGAAGCTGATTTGGGGAGAAAAAAAATCCAAACCCAAAACTATAGCAGAATTTTAGTACTGCCAAAACCTAAGTATTTATCCGCTCCACTGTCCTACTTTGATGTCTCCTAATTCTGTCTTCTTTAGGGACCTCCAAATGCCACGTAGTACGCTGTGCTGTGTTGTGTCATTAAAACATGATTATTTTTTTTTCTTAGGGTTCAAAGGAGAATAATGTTTTTGTAAAATAAATGGGAGAGACCATGTAGCTTTTATTTGATTGTTTTGGATATTTTAATGCCTTAGAGCTGGTAGTCTCTTTTGTTCAGGAATTGATGTAGAGATGTCCATTGGCCTCTCAAAATACAGGACCAGTTTTATTGCTTCTGGCTGTAAAATTTATAGCATCCCCATGGTACTACCATTTTAAAGTAATTAAGTTTCTAAAGTACTGTTGTTTTTTGCATTTAAGGTTTACAGCTCGACCATTAGTGGAGACCATATTTGAAAGGGGAATGGCTACTTGTTTTGCATATGGGCAAACAGGCAGTGGAAAAACCCATGTAAGTATTTAAGTATTCCTTCTACATGTCAGCAATACACTTCTTTTTATATGTGATACACTTAGATAAGTTCTAGTAAGTAACAAATACGTAAGTTAGAGCTCTATGATTTTTATAGTGTATTTTTGATTTTTTTTTTTCCCAATCTAGACTATGGGTGGTGATTTTTCAGGAAAGAACCAAGATTGTTCTAAAGGAATATATGCACTTGCAGGTGAGACTTTATTGGTCTGTTGGCTGTTTGCAGATTAGTTGAGATCAATAAATTATCTACTCCCTGTTGTACAAAACATAAGGGTCTGCATATTTTGCATTACAGTGGCGCTTTGGTAACATCAAAAGTAGTTCCTAGATGTGTAGTAGTAAACTGTACACAGTAAAGTAAATGTATATATAGATTACTTAAAAAAAAGTAATAAATATAGCGGATCATTAATTAAGTTTATAATTTTGGGGTCTTCTGCATCTTCCGATGTAATGCGGCAGTTTAAACTGCAATGTTGGTTGACTGACCTTATTTGTTATACTTGCAAAATATGAGAGGTGCCATAAAATAGACTGTTAAGCATTAATGAGTCTTCACTGAATGAAAATACATAACGAGATTCTTTTTATTCTGGGAATGCATTCACAGCTCGAGATGTCTTTTTAATGCTAAAGAAACCAAACTATAAGAAGTTAGAACTTCAAGTATATGCAACATTTTTTGAGATCTACAGTGGTAAGGTAAGTACCTGTACCTCTGAGGAAGGGGGAATTTCTCTTTCACAAACAAGATTTTGAGCTTTTCAGATAAAAGATTTTTTTCCTCTTTGTACTAAAAGCCTTATTTCAAATAATACTTTACAATTCCCTTCCAATCATGTTTTTTCCATGGAATGCTTTGCATGTTTTGATATGGGATTTGAAACAAAAGTGTCTTTTAAAGGTCCTCTTTAACTGTTCTGTTTCCCCCTCCCCTCCCTAAGGTTTTTGACTTGTTGAACAGGAAGACAAAACTAAGAGTGTTAGAAGATGGTAAACAGCAAGTCCAGGTGGTGGGATTACAGGAACGGGAAGTCAAATGTGTTGAAGATGTTCTTAAGCTTATTGAAATAGGCAACAGCTGCAGGTATCTCCCATAGCTTACACCAGTTTTTCATTGTGCATTAAAGAATCGGAACAAGATTTTTTGGGGGTCTCTTCACAGTGATGGCTTTTTAATACACAGTGGGTTCTTTGACGATGTTGGCTGTAAGGAAGGAACCTGCCTACCTTTTAAATAAAAATACTTAGAGTTTCTCTGTCTCCTAGAGAGAAATAACTGATTTTTCTACAGGATATGAACTGCATGCATTATGTAAGCAACTTACTGACTTAAATTCACATCATTTATAATCTGGAATATTGCCAGATTCTTCCGCTCTAGAAGGCCTTGATACATGGTGACAGAGGTTAAGCATAAAATTTTTATTTTTTTTAAGAATCCAGCTTCATTGTTTTTAAAATTAGCCTTGTGCGTAGACTGCTGCCTGATCAGATAAAAATGCCATCAGCATTTTACATGTAAGCTCTTTGATAATCTGAAATCTTTGAAGATCTGATTATTCTTGCCTTTAAAAGGGGGGTAAAATGGTTGAAGAGATGGAAAAAGAGGTATACTTATACTATGTACATCCAATTATTAGGGTTGTATCTCTAGTGTCCACAAGAACATTAGACGTGCTGTCAATATATGTAAGAAAACACAGGACTCTGCATGAAAAAACTAGTGTTCTGAGGTTAGTGTGTTTAACATGTGTGGTCCTTCGCCTGTTCATATGTCCTTCCCTTCTCTCCTTTTGTATAAAGGACATCTGGCCAGACATCTGCAAATGCACACTCATCTCGAAGCCATGCAGTGTTTCAGATTATTCTCAGAAGGAAAGGGAAATTGCATGGTAAATTTTCTCTGATTGATTTGGCTGGCAATGAAAGAGGAGCGGATACTTCCAGTGCAGACAGGCAGACACGACTGGAAGGTGCGGAAATTAACAAGAGCCTTTTAGCGCTCAAGGTAACTGAAATGTTTTCATTGCCTTTGAGTAGGTGGGAGCCTTGTACATGTAATAGCAATGACTATTAAAACGAGTGTTTTTGCAGGCTTTGCTTGTCTACATTGTCTGCTGATGTGACAGGTAAAATAATGTATTGATTTTTCCTCTAAATGCCTGAAGGAACACTTGGTAATTACCAAGTAGAAACATTGCGGAAACATTGTGCTATCAACTTGCATGTAGTTTAAAAAAACCCCCAAAACCTCAACAAAAAGTCCCCAGTGGTTGAATTTGAAGACTTTTCTGATATATATCTAAAGTGTGAGGACAGATGACTTACTTTGGTACTCAAGGTCTGAAATACTAATTGGAAATATTCTTACTGATCTCAATATTTCTTTTTCATAAAAAAATACAGTTGCAACATATTTATTTACTGCTGTAATTAATTCACAAAAGCAGCACAACAGCAACGTGTCCAGAAAGAGCTAACAAATAGATTAAAATAAGTTGGAATCCATTTTTGACTACTCTTCTTTGGGGCAGATTGTCTGATAAGAGTCACTTTACAGATTTTCATACATTAAACCGGGACACATCAAGAGAGCTTAGAAGTATTATTTAAATATTCATATGCCTTTTCTTTTTGTTTGTTTTATAATGCTCAAAAGAGGTTCAGCCTAAATAGGGAAGGTAATTTTTTGGTGTCAACTGGGGAAACCGTAGTTTGGAATGTCTCAGAACTTGTCTCTGTTGTTGGTTAGTTTTGCTTAGGCTTACTAATCTCAGCACCAGCACTGTGGGTTTATATAAAGCATATGAACCCCCAAATCACTGTGTTTACTTTTTTATCCCCAGTATAAACAGGGGAGAAGACTTGTGTCTGACTCTAAGCAGATCTCACACGACACCACACAATTTTAACCTATAATGTGTCATTACAAAATTGTATGGCATGTTGAGAAATTGGACGCAGCAGTTCCAAAACTGTGGCCTTTTTTGATTTAGCATCAAAGTAAATAATGCAAGCAACGTTGTGTTGACGTTATCACTTGTTTCCAAGTGTAACTGAATAAAGCTGGTTTAGTGTGGTTTGTTGTTTTTTTTTTTTAATTTGGTTTTTTTTTTCAGTTAACTTGTTGATTTTGTACTGGCTGGTGGCTTCAGTGCAATACCCATACAACATACTTAGTTATTTTCATACAGCTTGCCTTTTTAATTATAGTGAAAGGCTCTGCTGCTGGCATACAAGTGGTTGTGATCAAAACTATATGAGGAAGGGGAAATATAAATAAGTGGAGGTCTTAGAGAGGTCTAAATAGTGGTAAAAGAAGATACAAGTTTCTCAATCATATGTTAGTTTTCCATTTTTTAACTGTGCCCAAAAACATTACAGAGCTTTTTCCATTTGAATTCAAGACCCTTGAAGTTACTGTGAAGTTCAAATTTAACTAGTATGTTCTGAGGAGTGTTTTTTGGTGCTAATCCGAGATTTGCTGTTTGCATCTGGATATCAGTCTTGTCTTAACCTGTTCAGATTTTTGGTACAGGAAGTTATCTCTGTAATGTCTCTACATGGAAATAGTGTTGTCATTTTGTTATCTGGTTTTCTGAGCTGTGATGAAAAGCAAAAGTAGTTAAAAACTACATTAGTTTAGAAACTGACAGTGTCCTTCTATAATGCTTGTACTAATAAGGAGATAATCCAACTCTAATTTTTCAGGAGTAAGCAAACTAAAAATCATTACAGGAAATTAAAGTGTCTTAATGAAACCTGTTGATTGCCATATCAGTAATTCAACATACACATTTGTTACTGGTTTTAGTTTTTAATGTCACCTGTTGAAAATCTGTTGCCGCTCTTTCTGTCTAATCTGCTTTTCTCCTGTAAGTATAGTAGTAATGTACAAATTCAAAAAAATCAAGGAATGCACTGCCTTGCTCACCTATGAGTACTGAGTCCTTATTAGTATTTGCATGTGAAATTCACAGTCAACAAGCTTCAGTCTGTCTGTTTATCTGAGCTGTGTCCATTCTATAAAATTCAGCTGGTGAGTTTTTAAAATAATCACTTTAGTTAAAACCAACTTGCCCTTGTGTTCGTTCTGTTCTGTATCGTGACACCTTTATTCTGAGCCTATTTTTAGTTCTGTTTTATGCTGTTTCATAGTTGCAATACTTTCTTGGATTATCATCCTGCAGCTTCTAGCCTGGCTTTTGGAAGAAGCTGTTTCTAGGAAATTTCAAAACGCCACAAGGATATGGCTGCAGCTGATGGATTAGCTAAACTACTGTAGAACTATTCATGTAACACAAAAGCCATTCCATCTGTTAGTGCTGCTAAAAGCAAAGCTGTAATTTGAAAAGCTTTTGAAGTATGGTTGTTTGAAGAAGTTCTGTGTGTAGACGTGTTAAAACTGTACCACGGAAGCCATGCATCCGAAAAGATGCCTGTACACGAAGTATTAAGGCAAAGGCAGAAACTGGAATTAATGGTCAAAATATGACGATGACCAACAACACAGAAATTTAAATTTAAACATTCTTTGCATAAGATGTAATTTATTAGCTGATGTTAGAGCTCTGAGTGGGCAGAAGTGATGTTTAGATTAGTGTGATCTTGGTTTGCACTGTTGTACTTAGTTGCTGCTGTAATTTCTATAGTAATTTCATAATATTTACATCTGTAGAGTATTCCTCACTGGAACTCTCCAACCAATTGCAAATATTAGTTTAGCCCCATACCCCTGCAAGTGAAAGAGGAGACCTTATCCCTGTTTCTTCACATGAAGAATGTTTTAAAACAGGGAATGACTTAGGTTTTCAAGTGTCTTCCAATGTTGAGTACATCAATAGAGAGCTGTGCTTACTGTGTTTGTGACCTGTGGAAGCTTTCAGAAAGTTTGTTTTCTTCTGAGCTGTAAAGAAAGACAGTGGTAGAGACAGAATCAGAGCTACTGGTTTTAACTGGTAGAGTTAACCCGTGTCTCTGTCTACTCTGCTTCTGCTGGCAGAGGCTGCAGATCAGTCAGGCTTTTGCAGCTGATAATCAGAAATAATTGTTAGTCTGGACATTTAACATCAACATTGATTTTTTGTTTTGTTGTTGGATACAATAGATGTAAACATTTTGGATGAGATTCAGAAAATTTTTTAGACTCCTAAGTCCTTTTTAAGTTCTTACCTGTCTACTGAACTTAATGAGAGGTAAAAGCCTAATGAGTCTTGAATCCAAGCTTTAATGGTAAATTTTAATGATATTTCAGAGGAAACAACATAACTAAGGCATGCATTTTCTGATTTTGAATTGCATTTGTATTGTATTTATTCAACCCATGTTAAAGAAAAATGCATAAACCTATTTGTTCTTTCAGGAGTGCATTAGAGCCTTAGGCCGAAATAAACCTCATACACCATTCAGAGCAAGTAAACTTACTCAGGTGCTAAGAGATTCATTCATAGGAGAAAACTCCCGTACCTGTATGGTAAGTTGACTTGGTTAACTGTTTGTTCTAAAAATTACAGAGAGAAAAGAAGCTGGGAATTTAGGCTTTTGTGTTTAAAATCGGTCACTTGCTACTAGCCATGTGTTGGACTTAACGTTTATCCACTGACGCTATATGTGGAGTGAGACTTTCTTGCTCCCTTCTCACTTTTTATTGGCCTTTCTTATTTCTTGTTCTAGTTTTTTAGCTAGGCACCTAGCTAGAAACACTTCTAACTTGGGAAGGTTTTTTTGATTTTTGTTTATTTTAATAATGTCTTAAATATATGAGAGTGTTGTTTGTTGACTCAGAACTTTGGAAAAGGTTGTGTAGGCTGGGAAGTACAGTGGTCAGTTACGATCTTTAAATGACAAGGACAAACTTAAAGTTGGCATCAAAGGCATCAGGATTTTCTATAGGCTGTTGGGGGGGAAGTAGTTGGGATAGATGGGATGAATAGTTGTTTATTGTATAAATGTGCATTTGCATCAGTCTGAAAAACAGAATTCTTCTGTCAGATGGTGGAAAGGACGGATAAAAGCACTCATGTCCATTTGTTTTATTTGTGCGTCCTTAACATTTTTCCTTATGGAAATGCAAACTCTCTGCAGTGGACACTGACAGCTAGACTTGTTTGTATTGGTTAATTTTCACATATTCCTTGGAATTAGTTAGTCCAAAGGCCAGAGAAGTCTGCATAACACAACATGAAAACCAGGGTCTTAGGGCAGCCTAGTCGTCCCTTTAGCTGTTAGGTATGGTTCTAATTTGAAAATGCTGGTAAAATAGCATTTTTTATTAATCTTTTTTTTCTCCTTCATTTTTCTGATGAAAAGACAGGATTGTTTTCTTTCCCAGTGAGACATACCTGATCTAGTTGAAGATGTCCCTGCTCACTGCAGGGGTTATTGGACTAGTTGACCTTTACAGGTCCCTTCCAACCCAAACTATTCTATGATTCTATAACTTCATAAATCCTATGCAGGATTGGAAAGCTAAATTGTGCATCTCTAGCTAGTGTACCCACACTGCTGAAGAAGGTTTGAAAAGTTAACCTGTTGGAAATTACGCTCTGTACATAGAATAATTAAAATTTTTTAATATTTCGTGAAGTTCTCACCATCACCTTTACCTCCTTAAAGTGCTAACAAGCTGTCTCTGTTTTGGTGAAGCTTTTTTATTTCATTATTACTCTTCTCACAGAGTTGCCGTAGTATTTTTTTACTATTTAAATGTGTGAGAATGCCATTGAGAGTAATCTGTGATCTATGGGTCTTCAGTTTCTGATAAAGCTTGCATTCCTTTATTTAATATTCAATACAGTTCTAAATTAAGGGAAGAAAATCTCTGAAATAGGCTTGAAATTTTTTTTTTATTTTCTCATTCACGTTACTACTATTACTTTACAACTAAAAATAAGAAAAGCCTTTCATGATGAGATGATGCTTTCAAACTCATTCTTCTGCTACTTTTTCATGTAGCTTATCAGTACTAAGACCACTTGTGACATTCTGGTTTTAGTGTTTGTTTACATGAATTTTTCTGAAGACTTTAATCAGTAAAGTGTTTTCTTAAGATGCTGATGTGGGAAGAAGAAAACT